AGACCAAATTTGTAAAAGTTAGGAAGACATGATCTGCTTCCTGTTTAGCCTCTATTGCCTTCTTAACTTGTTGTGATGTATGCTTTATTTGACAAGGAAAGAATGCTAGAAGGTTTGCTTTTTTTATTTTAATTGTTGGACTGCTATGAATTGGAGCATCAAACAAGATACTTTGAAGGTGATTTCATACTAAATATACTTTATTGACATTAAGCAATTCCCCTCAAATTCCTCCATGAGAATTTTCTTAATACTCATGAACAGCTAGATTAAACAAAAGTACGAATAGCTGAAAGTTCTTTATTACAAATCTCTACATTCAGAAGTTTACAAACATAATAAGCAATGAGCATTTGAATTCCTTCTTTCCAGAATCCATCATCCCATGAAATCATTAACATCTGTCAAAAGAGTATAAAAGCATATATTTTTTGTTTTCGAACATAGGTCCAACAATGATAAACAAATGCAACATTTTCATATAAACAAGTTTCTTGAGTTCTCTTCTAGCAGTTAATATGACAATCACCTTAACATTCTTGTCTAAAACATTATAAGATCATTTGATTTAGCTTTAGATCAATATATTTGTTCCAAAGAATCATAAATATTTTTTATTAATCAACAATTACCTAACCCCCCATATATATAGGTATGAAAGGGGAATATCAAATGACACATTACATTAATTTCCATTAAAACCTAAGCATCACAAGCCATAAAAATCCCCCACATGCTTACACGGAAAACAGCCCAGCCAAGAAACCGAGGGAGCAACCACGGGATCCCAAGAGGCCCGCCAGAACCGAGGCGCCAAAAGCCACGAGAAAGGCCACCAGCACGGAAAACCAACAGCCACCATGGGAACCAAGGAGCCATGGCATGGGAAAAGCCAACCCGTGGAAGCCAAGGAGTCATGGCACAGGAAAACAAAACAAATCTTGGGATTCCAAAAGCCATTTTGGAATCCCAAGAGACAACTTTAATTTAAAACAATAAATAAAAAGCTACATAAATATGATAATAAATGAACTAAAACCTAGCTAATAATGAGCTAACTCTTAGTTCAATAAATTTAAAAATCAGCTCATAAATGAGCTAAATTCCAGCTCAAATTTTATTGAGCTTATAAACTCGAGGGAGGCCAAAATTGATTTATTATGGACATAAGTTGACCCCCCTTTTATCTACATCAGATATCTTCTACAATCTTTAAGTTGTAAAGGGATGAACTTCTGTAATTTTGGTTTGTAGAGAAGAAGGGAGAAGATGCAATATATGGATTGCAAACTTATAAACGTCCTTGAACATTTGGTGTTCGAAGGGAGATAATCACTTTCCTAAATTTGGGTTTAGGAGAATGAGAGGGGTATCAATTTGTTGATTTTGTGACTCAACAAACGAAGGAGGGAGCTTAGAATTTGGCCCTAAGCTCCAAATGGTTCATGCAATGATATGCTTGGTGACTTGAGAGGTCCCAAATGATCATGCATGAAAAAGATGGGTAAATGATTGTTTATTGACTTCGTCTCAACAAACAAAGGGTGAAAGGAATTTAGGATTTGGTCTTAAAATTAAAGGACTCATGCAATGATATGTTTAAAGGCTTGAGGAGCCTTAGAATATCTTTGCATGAGAAGAGATTTGTTGGTTTATGTTCCAACAACGAGGATTGGAAAACTTGGGATTTGGTCCCAAGTTCCAAATGATTCATGCACTCCAAGACTTGGGGCTTTGAGAACGCCCCATGCATTGTACATGGGAGAGGATTATTCATTTGTTAATTTCATATCTTAACAAAGAAAGGATTGGACTTAGGATTTGGTCCTAAAACCCTGAAGATTCATGTGATAGAACATTTGGAGCTTTGGAGAGGCTCCAAAATATTTCACATGAAGGGAAAAGAGTGCTTGAAAGTTAGCTCTTTATACTTGGTGGAACTCATGCAAAATAGAGCTTAGAACTTTGAGGAAGTTCTAAGCATCAAGCTTGAAAGGAGATGTGCATGAGAAAGAGAATTTCCCATTTCTCCATGAGTGTTTTGGACTCAATTCGAAGAGGGAAGATAGATTTCCTAAGGCTTTGGGAAGGTTTCTGATGGAACTTAACTTGTGATTTTCAGAATCCAGTAAAAACAGCCCAAAAACAGTAGGAAAAGTGGAGATTTCTTGAAGGAAAACACTCACAAACACTTTGTTAACTTAAATATCAAAAGACTTACAAGTTTTCACGGATACAATGCTCTCAATTCGAGAAGAGAAGCTTTCTCCCAAACTCTAGACTAGAAAAGAGGAAAACTAATCACCCAAAATTCAATTTTGGAAGTTATAAAATAGGGTTAGATAATTCAAAAATATGAGGGGTCATGGGCCTTTGAGGGTCTATAATACATCTCAAGTTCATTTCGTTGAATTAAATAAGCCTATTTAATTATCTTCCAAACTTTCACAAGTTAAGGATTGCAATCCAAATCATGCAAACTAATTTAATCAAGCATGCAAACATTTTGCTTGGAGATATCCACCATTTGTCTTTCATTCCAAATTTGAAGATGTATCAAAAGCGAATTCAAATAATTTCTTTTGTCATGGGATTTGAAATATGAACTTGAGGGTTCATGAAAGACCCCACTATTTGTTTACAAGCTTCCAAAATCAATTGAATTTATGACATTCAACAAATTCAGACGAAATCACAAATGCTAACGGTGCAATTCCAAATATCTAAGTTAATTTTGTCATAACTTACAATTTGCTAAAAGTGGCATGCATGCTACAAGATGTGAGAGTCCCTACACATTGTTATTCAAGGTATGGTTGAGCGACAATACTTAGCCTAAGGTTCGATCGTAGGCGAAGGCATTAGATACAAAATGAATGCTTTTACATGCATTTGAGGGGTCATTGGATACAAATCTGACCACCCTACGCTTATGGCATGTCTCTTTGGCTCTCACAAGAGAGCAAACAAACGGAAATCACCGGATTTCCGCTGTTTTGTGGAGAGGATAGCTCACATAGGTTTTGGGGAAGCAAGCAAATGAAGTTTCTAAGGGACCTAAGACTTGGGGACGTCAACCACACATCAATGGCCTTGGGGAGCCCTAGGTCTCACTAAGTTTTAGTGTTTTACCTCTCCCGGGTTGTCCTAGCGCTCCAATCCAAGCTCCGGATTGCTGTCTAAGCTCCTTTGAAGGCTCCAAGCTGCTGTCCAAGGCATTCCCAAGGAAGAAGACCTCTGTCCAAGCCGCTCGGGACGTCGCCGCCGCTGTCCAAGCTGCTCGGGACGTCGCCGCCACTGTCCAAGACACCCCGGACGCCTCCTTTGCTGCCCAAGACGCTCCAGAGAGTGAATTTGCTGTCCAACAATTCTCCAAACAGCAATTTCAATGTTTGAAGGCCTTTGGGTGCTTTGTAGTTGCTGCCCAAATGTTCCAAACAGCTGGTTCTGCTGTTTGAAAGCCTCCGGATCATTGTTTTTGTCGTCAAGAGGTTGCCGGAGATGATTTGGAAGGAAGTAGAGGCCTCCTACCTCCTTTACTGTAATAGGGATCAATTACAGCAGCCCTTTGCTTTGTTTTTTAGGAAAGGAGACAACTAACAGCAGCGAAGGGAAGTTTCTGCTTCACGGTTGAAGGAAGGAAAAAGTGGCAGCGGGATGGAACTTCTTTTTAGCCCAAAGAAGAAGAAGACAGCAATTGGCCGGCCCTACTTCTTGGCTTGGGCGCACGCAAGAGGCCGCCAGACTTCCTCCTCTTAGCTCTGATCGGGATGGATGGAAGAGCCGAGTGGCTCTTCTCTTCACTCGGCTGGAAGGACCGCACGAGGGGTCATTGAATACAAATCTGACCGCTCCCTTCTCCTGCTCTTGCTTGCACTCGGGTTCGGATGAACAAAACAAGGAGCCGAATGCTCCCTCTCCCCTCTCCCCTCTCCCTGTCTTTCTCTCGCTCGGGCCGAACACACGAGAGAGCAAGCCGAAAATGCTCCCCCTTTCTCTTACTCATCTTTTCAGAGGGGCACGCCTAGCAGGGCAGCCGACCAAAATGTCCAATCAGCCTCCTCGTTGTGCGAAACGAAGAAAAATCCACTTGAGTAGATTTTCTGATGGGATTTGCCACAGATTTGGGTGGGAATTGAGATGAGATCTCAACCCTAAGTCTCAAATTTTGGTTTGAAAACCAAATTCAGCCCAAATTGACAAATTGAGCTGAAATTGAGTCCGGATTGGACTCGACCCAAACCGATTTGGGTCGGTTTGGGTCCGATTGAGTCCGATCTATTTTATTTTACCAAATTAAACTCGAATCAGCACCGAATTGCGTTGAAATAGGCTCGACGACGCTCGACTGGGTTCGATTTGATTGAATTCGGTTTAAATTTAATTAAATTGAATTTAATTTAATTAAATTAAGGCTTAATTTTGGTCAATTTTGCTTTGACGACGATCGATTGGGTCAATTGAGCATGATCGAGCCTAGTCGTGCTCGATCGGGGTTGGGTCGATACGAAAATGTTCGTTAACAGGAAGCTTAAGAACCAAGTGCCAAGAAGATTACTACCTATCCGTCAAGGAATTCAATAGGCAAAATTCAAAATATACGGCAGCCAAATCTTTCAATAGAGATAATTTCTGATTGTTTTTTTCTATTCATTTTATCCCTTTGTTGTGTATTTGGCTTTAAAGTTTTATTTATTGATTGTAAAGACTTCTTGTGAGATTTATATTTTTTGGAGGGGGATTTAAGAATTGAGTCTCTTGTTTCTTATCTTGTTTTTTCCCCTTTTGGTTTCACAACGGTATCATGTGTTCCGTTGATTTTGTTTTTTTATTTTTTATTTTTCCTTTTGGATTTAGTTCTATGTTGTTAGCCTTTTTTACTTCATTAGATCTTCATATGTTTGAAAAGTAGTCTTAGCATCAAAATTCTGTTTAAGTTTTTTCTTCTGCTGAGATTCATGAAAATCTATAGTCAACTTATACTGTTTGTCCTCCTGAAGCAGACAATACGGAAACTTCAAGAGGATTTGAAGATATACACCAATGAATTGCAGGCATCTAAAGATACTATTAAGTCACTGCTGAAGGAGAAATTATTGCTTGAACAGAAGATTCAAATATTTGAAAAGAAGAAAAAAGATGAGGTTGTTTCATTGTTTGCTAAGTTAAATGAGTTCTATTTCTCAGTAGTATTGTTTGGGATATCTGAAATATGTTTAGCCCAATTCATAAGATTTGTACTGATTGTTTTATATTAACATACAGATTAGTATGATGATAAACAATTATGAAGATAAGCGTCAAAACTTTGCTCTAAAAATTACTGAATTTGAGCAAAAATTGGTAAGCACAGCAGAAGTATTAAGAGTGGCAGAATCTACTATTGCAACGAGAAACATCGAAATAGACGCATTACATGACAACTTAAAGGAGCTGCAAGAGTTGCGAGATATGAAAGAGGTTGGAAAATTTTACTGTCTTGTTAAATTAAGAAGATATTTCCAATTTATTTACTGGGCATGCTCTTGGGCTGCTGTAAGGGTGGGCATGCCCTAGTGCATTTATCTGGCTAGTTTTATGCACAACTGTAAGCTACTACTCTTGTGCAGTACAATCTTGGGGTCTAAAAGCATGAAGGTCATGTTTTTGGCTACAGCTATGGGCTGCCAGGATAGGCATGCCTACTCAAGTTTTGATGGGTTCTACCATACCTACAAAGGGTATATAGAGCTCATTATATTTTTAGGAGTTCCTATGCGGTTTGCTTTGTATTGATGCGGATGTTTGTTTGTACCCTAACAGGATATTGATAGGAAAAACGAACAAACAGCTTTAATTTTGAAGAGGCAAGGATCACAACTGGCTGAGCTTGAAGCACTTTACAAAGAAGAACTAGTTTTACGGAAACGATATTATAATATCATTGAAGGTCTTGTTTTGTCAATATTTACTTTTTCATTCTTTTTGTCCTAGAAATTTATATCATTGTTTGCATGATAATATGTTAGGACAAATTTCTTTTGTTCTCTTCAACAGATATGAAAGGAAAGATAAGGGTTTTCTGTCGTTTACGTCCTTTGAATGAAAAGGAAATTGCTGAGAAGAAGAAGAACGTAGTATTTTCTGTAGATGAGTTTACTGTTGAACATCCATGGAAAGATGAAAAATCAAAGCAACATATATATGATCGTGTTTTTGGTCAAAATGATTCACAAGAGGATGTTTTTGCGGATACGAAGGTAAATGGTTTTTGAATTATAAATTTAAAATGAGAATCTCTGGCTATGATGTTGAGTGTTCGTGCTGATTTTTTCAATTTCTTTCTAAAATATGCAACTATCGGTAGAGTTATTTTTAATGAATAGTATTAATACTTCTTTTAACCGGTGTGCAGTATCTAGTACAATCTGCTGTTGATGGATACAATGTCTGCATATTTGCATATGGGCAAACCGGTTCTGGTAAAACCTTCACAATCTATGGTTCAGAGAGCCATCCCGGGCTAACCCCAAGAGCTACAGCTGAACTATTCAGATTAGTAGATCGTGATAGCAGCAAATTCTTTTTTTCTCTGAAGGTGTTGATTAAATTCAATTTAGATTTTTAATTTTGAGCAGAAACTCGAATTATTAATATACTACTTATAGCTTTTTATTTAGGCATGCTATTTTTATTAAAGCACTCGTACTTGCAAAATTAATTTTTGTTTGAATATATTTTCTGTTTTTAGTACATATTTTTTGGTGACATTTGAAACTTTTTTTCCTTACTAAATTTGTTCTTTTCGAAAAAAGACAATGCAGTGTCCCATATAAATTAACATAAAAGAAAAGAAAAAAAAATTAACATAACAAAAAATAAGATTTCCCTCTCAACTTGATGCGCTATTAAGGATGGCAATACAAGTATTTTTATTTTGAATACTTGACTACAGAATATGCCACCACTGAGTTCACTATATTTAACCACCTAAAGTAAGTTAAAGTATCATTTATAAAATATAACACTCCATTTTACATGATATGCAACCCTATTTCTTTAAATAAACCTTTCATAATTTCCTCCCCAATCTAAATTCAAATCAACCATCTTTCCCTAAATAAACTTTACAATTATTTCACCCCTGATTTTTTCATCTTACATAGTAAATATTTACTCCCCTAGACCCCATAAGGTGGGCCTCCTTGACGTAACAGTACTTCCCCTTCAAAAAATCACCTGGTCCTCAAGGTGGAAGGATGAGAACGGTGTCCTATTCATCTCATATGGCTCCCATGAGGCGTCATACTTCGACAAATCCTTCCACTTGATAAGTACCTCCTGAACAATAAACTCAAGATGCTGAGAACAAATTAGCAGCGTTTTGCTAAAGGGAACAACATACGATGCACTTGTGCATAATTAAAGTTCGTTAGGGATGTTAAGTCCTTATGAACTAGGCCAAGCTAACCAAGAGGGGGGGTGAATTGGTATTTTAAAAAATCTTTTAATAAAAAAACAAAATCTTAAGCAAACCAAAAACCAAGATTAATCACAGAAATCAAAGTGCGGAAAATAAATGCGAAAGCATTAATAAAGAACATTGAAATTTAGTGGTTTGGTCAACACGACCTACCCCACTCCCCGGAGGCGCCCTCCGAGTATTGCACTAAACTCAGTGTCTCTCATTTTGCCCCCACAGCAAGACGGAGAAGCCTTTACAAACCTCATTTCTACCAACCTAGGTGAGGCAGAGAACCCAACTTCTTTTGCTTCCTCTTGTAGCAGGCAGAGAACCTTGATCAGATGCTGAAGTTTACCTCTCTAGAACCCCAAAGGAACTAAGGACGACGACTAGAGAAGATGACGGCGGATCCTTGCTTGGCTTTGTGAACTCCCTCACAAGATCCTCTCTATCTCTCCCTTGCTCTCCCTCTCCTCTTGGCTCTCTCAGGTTATAACAGTAGCAAAAGATAAGCTCTTGGTTAGAACAAGAGCTCTTAAATATAAGAGTTTTGGAATAGTTCTTATTTTATACAAACTGACTTTATCGTCCAGGATGATATACATATCGTCCTGAACGATTAGCGTAAATTTCGCTCAATTAGCCTGGACGATTTGGGATGATAAGATAATTTTTGTTCATATCGTCCAGATCGATATAATATCGACCTGTACGATCAGTATAAATCTTTGAATATCATCTAAACAATTGCTCTGAAAGAATATATGGACTATGAAAAAATAGCTTGATCGTACAGGCTGATCTCACGATCCTCCCGGACGATTAGTTCAAATTTGTGAAACTCGTCCAGAGCATCGCTCTGAAAAGAAGCTAGCCGATGTCAATCGTTCAAGAGATCGTCCAGAATGATGTGATCGTGCAATCAAACCTTAATTGTTTTCCTTAATTACCAGATTAATTTAGGCATAATTGTGCTGCATCGTCCAAGTTGATGTCTTGGACGATGTCCAAAAATAAAGAATACCTAAATAGATCTGGCGACTGATTCTTTCTGATTTGAGCCTATCATCCTGACCGATATGAATATCGTCCAGGACGATGTGCTTAATGATGGCTGCCTTAACCAGGATGCCCTAATTAGGGTTTCTGTTTTTGAATGGATCGTCCAGGACGATTTATGGATCGTCCCGGACATTGTTACCAAAAACAGTAAGCTCTATGAAACAGTCATAAATTCTCCCAAAGTGTGTGTGTGCAAAATTACTTAGCAACAGGAACCATATCTTTTACAATAGACTCAAGAAAGAGAAAAAATTACAAACTGACTCAGACCTTATCTACCCAATCTTGAGCTGGCTTGAGTTGCACTTGATCTTGTAGACCTGAAATGTTAGTAGGCAAGGCAGTCGTAGAAGAACATGAATGCTTGCTATCATCAAAATTCTAATATATAAAATCAGATTTGCAACACATAATAGGCTCAGATGGGACATCATCTCGATGGAAGCTGTAAAAAAGCTCTATATTATCTCTGGCCTACCAGTTTCTCCTTTTTTTTTCCTCAGCTTCTTTAGTCACTACTTCTATTAACTCAGTGATAGCAATCCTTGCAGAATAGTCTGGGTTGAAACATTCTAGACGAAGCAAGTAAGCTGTATAGAAGAACCTATGATCCTCTTCATATAGACCATCAAGATCATCATCACGAAAGCTATACTGTGGACCTTTTTAAGTTGGAATAGGTAGTCCAGAAGAATGCATCGTACCTACATATTTTACTCTATCACCTTCTTTGAATGTGTAATTCTTTGAAGAAGCTATTGAGGACTCTTGCTTTGGCAAGGAATGACAACTTAAACTAGATGCTCCCACAATATCAACTTCCGCACTGGAAGCTGGTCTTCTAGTATGAAAAGTGTCAGCTAATGTAAATTTCCGTTTAGTAAATTCGCCTGACTTCTCTTTGTCAAGAAGTTCCTGATCCGTTTTGCATGCAGCGGTACTGCAAAGATTCTTCCAATCTCTTGCAAAATAAGTTTATGTTGCATTAGCTATCCCATCAAATCTAAAGTTAGGGTCAAGATTTTTTTTGGGGCATAAATATTTTTAAGCTTTTCATTTGGTTTTCAGCATACGGAAGGTCTTCATATATTCTTCCTTGAAGACTGCATATCACATCATCGTCAAAATCAAATGATCTATTTGTTGCACCTAGGATAAGAATCGTTTGCTAACCTTGGTCCTAAACTATTCCAAGCTGCCATAAATTTATTTCACATTCTTCTTGTTGCTTCATGTTCAAAGGCACCACCATGTGCACCAAGTAAGCTGTCAATCTCATTTACGAAGATAGCTAGTCGAGATGCAAAAGAAACGAGCACCGTGGTGAGCTTCTCAGCTTTGCTAAACCACTTCGATGTTAGAACATATTCAGTTATATTGATAAAATTTTCTCTAGTTTCAGTTGCAAGGGCTTTTGCAAGAAGAGTTTTACTTGTTCCTGGTGGGCCAAAGAGCAAAATCCCTTGTGAAAAAAGCTCAATCCTTCTCATAGAAGCGTGACAAGTTCATTTAAAGTTCTCTTCACATCTTCTAGAGCACAAATATCATCAAACTTGACCCCTATTTTATCTGAGTGCACAACTGCTGAAACAAAATTGCTTTCATACTTATCTTTCGCAAGATTCTTTACGCTCTCTGAAGCCTTTGTTGAAATTGATTCTTGCTCCCGTAATGTTGAAATAGTGATCTCCAGGCTTAAAACCTTCTCAAGATAAATGATTGAGAACTTCTCTTTCATATCTGACTTGATTTGCTCCATCTCAATTTCCAACACCACCTTCTTTGCTGCTTTAGGTTTAAAAATAGTGCTTTGATACAAATTTGATACATCATGTAAGTAAAAACAATGAAATAAATAAGTATAAACTGCAAGAATATGAATATATAGGCTGATTGTTTATTATCTTTTCAATAAGATATAGAAAGATACCAATGATCTACTAGTTGAGAGTTAGATCAGCTCTCCCATAAACCCTAGACGTCATGAGGAACAACTCCTAAGAAAACTACAATAAACATAAATCACATAATGAAAATAAAACATCCCACCCTTAAATTAACTATCATATTTCCCTTCCAAATCTGAATTTAAATCAACCATCTTTTCCTTGAAAAAACCTTCCTAATTCCCTCTTAAATCTAAATTCAACTAAACCCTCTTTTCCCTAAATACAATCTTCCTAATACCCTCACAAATCTGAATTCAAATCAGCCATCTTTCCTTAAATACACCTTTCTTAATTTCCTCCCCAATCTAAATTCAAACCAGCAATCTTTCCCTAAATAAATTTTCCTTAAATAAATTTTGCTTATTCTTATGGCTTCTTGTATGCCTATTTACACAAGCTTGGCACGAATGAAATAATTCATGCTTGTATTTTAGTTTGGAGCCTCTTGGCTCATATAATAATATTAGCAAATTGATTCATAGCATAATATGTACTAATGTTTAATTTTTCTATAGCAACCGAAATCTGTAGAAATGTTTTATTCTGCGCGAGGTACCTGATATATTCCCTTTTCATTTTGAAGCTGATTATATTACTATACAATTTTATATTGGTTGTTACACCTCGGCTCAATCGACTAACATAGTTATGGTTAGATGCTATTTGTTGACACCATTTTCTAATGAAATGCTTATATACAAAATGAGTTCAACCTGAATAATTTTGAAAATTGTAGGGCTGACTACTGAACTATTGATTATGGTATGATTAGGATTGATATTTACTTTTTGGTCTTGTGACATTTACTAAAGTTAGCTCTGGTTTACATGTTTTGGTTGTTTATTATGGAGGGGCTTTTTTTAGTTACTTTGGAATAATAAAAGATAAACAAATAGCAGTAATAATAAAAAATGCTTTATCACTTGAGGATTCATTATTCCCTTCCGGTTATCACTTGTTTTTCCAATATAGAGGATTCGGTAATGTTTAAAAAATGTCAAAAAACCTCTAAAAACTAATTATCAATGCCCTCATTAAATGAATTAGAGTTAACATGCTAAAAGATATGGTCATTAGTAGCATTATCACTTGTGCCTTTTTCAATGACCCCTTTTTAAGTAT